CAAGTGTCGATCAACTGGGAATGGGGTGGGGAAACACAATTGTGCGGTGTCTGGGGCGGAAAAGGCGGGAATGAGGGTATCTGTGCGGCGGATGTGTAGACTGGACACGTGGCATTGTCACAGCTCAACATCAGCAGCCCCCTGGCTACGAGGAGGGCAACGACGACATCTCCTGCCACCTGAACAAGGCACTCTACGGCCTGAAGCAGGCGCCCCGGGCCTGGCACAAGAAGCTCAAGTCCGTGCTGGAAGAGATGGGCTACATCGAGTCAAGCGCCGACCCCGCTCTCTTCATCAAGCCCGGCGCCGACCCCATCTACCTACTCATCTATGTCGACGACATACTGGTCGTTTCGATCGACGTCGCCGAGCTGCAGTCCACCAAGGTCCAGATCCTGGCTGCCTTCGACGCCCGCGACCTGGGCCCTGTCACCTACTTCTTGGGCATGGAGATCATCCGCGACCGCGCCAACCGGACCATCAAGCTGGCACAGAAGCGCATGACGGCTGACCTGCTGACCAAGTTCAACCTGGGTGAGGCCAAGCCCCTGAGCACCCCACTCAGCACCGCCACCAAGCTCACCAGCGTCGGCGAGCCCATGGACGCACGCACCCCCGGCTATGCTCAGCTGGTTGGGAGCCTGTATCTGTCAGTCTGCACACGCCCCGACATCGCCCAAGCCGTGGGAGCTCTCGCCCGCTACATGTCCAAGCCCAGCCTCGCCCACTGGCAGGCAGCCAAGGGCGTGCTGCGCTACCTGGCCGGCACCGCCAACTACGGCATCACCTTTGGCGCTGGCGGCCCCCGGCTGGAGACCTACTGCGACGCAGACTACGCCGGCGACATCGACACCCGGCGCTCCACCACCGCCTACGTCTTCATCCTCAACGGCGGTGCCATCAGCTGGTCCAGCCGCCTGCAGCAGACCGTGGCGGCCTCCACCACCGAGGCCGAGTACATGGCGGCAGCCGCCGCCATCAAGGAGGCCCTCTGGCTGCGCACCCTGTTGGGCAACCTGGGCCAGCCCATCCAAACCATCCCCATGCTGGCTGATAGCCAGGGCGCCATCAAGCTGCTCAAGAACCCCGTCTTCTCCATGCGCTCCAAGCACATCGACGTCATCTACCACTTTGCCCGCGAGCGCGTGGCACGCAACGACGTTTCCTTCTCCTACATCAAGACTGACCACATGGTCGCCGACTCCCTGACCAAGCCCGTGCCGGCAACCAAGTTCGACTACTGCCGCACCGCCATGGGCATCACCCCCTGCAGTTGTATGCGTGGGAGTGTTGGACGGCGGGCCACCTGGCTGCACCAGCGCCCGCCAGCTGTCCAGCCTGCTCACCTACAGCACCCACCGCGTTGGGACGCGGCCAGACCGAAAGCCAGATGGCCAAACCGAAAGCCACGTGCCCCACACCCGCGCCAGCTGGCAAAACCCAACGGTCAGCTCCCCCGACCCAATGCCATCTGTCAGCACCCTCCAGCTGGCGGCGACATCTGGCGGCCACCCGCCATCTGGCCATTCTCCCATGCATGCATATAATCCCCTGCATTTCGCCTTGTTTGTCATTCTCTCCTAGTGCCCTTCCTCAGCGACATCTGGCAGCCACCCGCCATCTGGCCATTCTCCCATGCATGCATATAATCCCCTGCATTTCGCCTTGTTTGTCATTCTCTCCTAGTGCCCTTCCTCAGTGACTGCCCTCTGCTGTCTGGTGTAAAGCCCTTCTCTCACAACACATTGCGGCGGCATAAAACATGGCAGTCAAAAAGTAAACGTTTCTCTCCTGTCTTACCGGCCCCTGGCTGGTAATTCTCTTAGGGTCTCCAAGCCATTTCCTCGTTGCGTTCGTGTCCCCATAAGCATGTGTACGGACCAGATGCCTAAGAATGCATCCTACCCACCACCGTTTGGGGGGTGACCCATCACCCCGGTGTGCATTAAACAGCCAATGCAGACACGGCACCCACTGTACCAATGCTCTGTGCCAATTGGCTGTGGTTGGACAGGGGAGCGTGCGTGGGAGGGGAGGGTGGTGGGGTCTTCAGTGATGCCTCTCTTCCATGCTGCTCTCTATCTGAAGATGTTGCGACTTAGCATCCTCTTACACAATGGCCAAGGTGACACCAATACAGCGGGGAGGTGGCAGGAAGGTCCAGCGTGTACACGGTGTAGGTAGCAGAGTGTCTCTTCCAAGCACACACACCACAGCATTTTCATCGCCATCAGAACTGCAGGCAACGGTCAAGAACCCGGAGCAGCGAGGTCCCACAATGAGTGGCGATGAGGAGTGGCTGGCTGCCGTGTGAGCAGAGCAATGCACCCCCCCCCCCAAAAAATCAAAGTCCCTAGGCACAGAAAACTCACCTTGAACTTTTTGGCCTCGCCACCAGATTTCTCAGTAGCCTTGCGCTTCTGCTGCGCTGCCTTGGCGGCCACCATATCTGCATGAGGGCGGGGGGTACACTTGGCAGGTGCTAGGTGCAAAGCACTTGTTGCATTCACATGTAGCCACGGGGCTCTGACAGTCAAGCTCACGCAAAGCGCACCTGAGAAGTCTTCACGGCCAGCCGCTGCTCGCTGCTCTGCCGCACGCATCTCGTAAAGGTCCCGCAGCGCCGCATCGTCCAGCCCCTCCAGTTCCTGCAAACCCAACGAAGGCGGCTACAATATATTGCCAGAAGTGCCACCACATCCAAGGCCAACCCAGCAGCATTGAAGTAGGATTGTGCCCAGAGGAAGCAGGCACAAATGATCCGCTCGCCAGCTGCGCCTTCCAGTGCAGAAAGCCAGCTTAGCCACCCACCGCGGGGTCGATGGAGACATCGACATCGCTGGGCATATCCCGCCGTAGCGCCTCCAGCCGCTTCTGCAGGGATGGGCAACGCAAAAGGCGTGTATGCACCAATCACCACGTCTGCCGACCAGCAAGAGTGAGTGCATACTCACAACAATGGCTGATTTTCACTGCCTGCGCTGGCCAAGCGCCTTGCGCTGGGTGCCTCGCCTTGCAACGCTGGCGCCTTTCCCAAGCAAACTTGCCTGCGCTGCAATGGACATCTTCTCCTTGCTGCCACCAGCGCCAGGAACAACGTACGTGTGGTCGCTGCCCATGAGCGCGCCGGCGCCCACGCTGGCCTTCTGCTGCTCCAGCACTGTGTACAGCTGCTTGGGACCCTCGCTCGTCTTGCGCAGGTCAATCTCTGAGGGCGTCTCAATACCACTGGGCAGGCTTGAGGCAAACCCGCTGGCAACGCTGGCGTACCCGTCAGCCAAGCTTTCTGTCTCGTCCCGGTCCTCCTCCTGTAGCGGGCAGGCAGGGGGCACGTTGACAGGGAGGCAATCCACGGACAACCAATAGGCAGTGGAAAGATGGGAAATCCACTGAAACACCAAAGCGGGGTGCCAGACTGTGGGCCGTCGGGTGGCAGGCGTACTGCCTGGCACTCCAAACGCACCTCCTCCTCTTCCTCCTCCTCTTCCTCCTCGCTCTCCTCCTCCTCCGACTCCAGCTCACCCCAACGCACAACCTTGTCCACTGCCTGCAGCATGCAAGGACGTCATGAATGCGGTGCAGGTGGGAAGCACATCGAAGGGGGGGGGCAGCAGATGCCACGCATACCGCTGCACAAGCATACAGAACAAACAAAATGCTGTTGAGTGGTGGCAGTTGAGGTTGATGGCATTAGCCAACCAGCGGACACTCGCCAGTTCATCCTCTTCCACCTCCTCGTTCTCCATCCCAAACACATCGCCATAGATCGGCCGCCCGAACTCGTCCACCGGGGGCTTGCCCCAGCCGCCTACAAAGGTGATAAGCCCCATCAACAAGGACCAGCGCTACAGCGCAGCGCACACCCTCTCATGCAGGCATTGGCTTGGCAAGCTGCCCCATCCAGCATCACAGGACCACCCACCTTGATGGTACCCAAACTGCGCGCCGGGTGGGATGGGGGCATTCAAGCCAGGGACCTTGAGGGATGGATAGCTAGGGGGCGGGCCATACCGCTGCGGGTAGAAGGGCACAATCAAGAGTTAGGCGGGCTGGAAGGAGGCGGGAGATCATTCCTAGGGCCCTAAACTGGCCAGCAAATATGAATTGGCATGCTGGCAAGGCCCAGGTACTGATACTGCTGTTCCACTTGCAGCCCACCCATCGCACCTGCATGTTGACCAGCCAGGGTGGCGGTGCGCCCTCGGTCATGCCCAGGGCGTTTTGCAGCTCGGGGCTCAACACGCCTGCAGGTGGGGTCCAATGCCAGGGGAAGGAACGGGGAGCATGTGAGAGTGTGTTGGCAGACGAGGGGGCCGCTGATTTTGAGTGCCATATGCAAAGACTGCATGCACACAAGTACCTGCCCGCCACCTTTGCCATGCACCGGTGCTCGGCAATCAGCACCCATCCCCACCTGGCCGTGCGTGCGTGATGGCGGCCTCAAACTCCTTGCCCTCGTAGTACATCTCGCCGGGCCCTGTAAGCTTGGGCTTGGTCTGGTACTTGAAAAAGGCGTCGTGCAGCACCTAGAGGGAGGAAAGGCACCCATACAGGGGGTTGAACCGACGGCGGATGGCAGGAGAGGAAGCCACCGCCGCCGCCTCTGGCATGCAAAGTGGCAGCAGGCAATGAAGCGTTTTTGTGCAGCATGCCAGGTGTGCTTGCGAAACAAGCAGAGTGGCAAGTCGCAAGTGCGCATGCCCTTGCAAATTGCTGCGCCTAACTTCAACAGGCGCTTGCCAGCCCTGAGACTCGTGCCTCCCACCTGGTAGTCGATATCCAGCTTGCCCATTTTGGGCTGCATGCGCTCGCGGGCCTTTTGCTTCATCTTCTGGCTCTCGGCCTTCTCCAGGTACGCCTGCCGCATCTCGCCTGCAGGGGGTGGGCAGAGCAGGGTTGGGGGCAGGCAACGCGACAGTAGGGAAGGCAGCATTACTCTGCTGTCCAGTATGTATAATGCTGCTATTCCAGCCATGCACCACGTGCCCACCATCACAAGCCAACTCCAGGCAGCTGCTGCCCGCTTAGTGTGCCCCCAGCAGGCCCACTGTCTCACCAATGCCTGTGGCCTCGATGAACTCGGGCAACTTGAAAGGAGGCTTCTCCAGACCGCGTTTGCCCTGCAGGTACTTGCGCTTCTGGCTCCAGTGGCGTGGGATGGTCACTGTGTTGCGATATGCCTGCAAGCCAAGAGGTGCAGAGGAAAAGGCAAGGCTCAGTCACGAGCAGCAAAGGTGTGCGCAAAACAACTAGGTGTGCGCAAAACAACTAGTTGGGGCGTGTCTGGGGGCCTTCTGGCCACGAATGTCTGTTAGAAACAAAAGGCTGCAGCTGTGCTCTCTGCAGCAGGTGGCCAACCAGCTACACCATCGACGCTCAGACACCGAATGCTTCTGGCCCTCCTACCTTCCTGTAACTGGCCCACCGTCTGCACCAGCTCGCCTGTTCCGCAGCCGCCTCCCACTCCACCCCAACACCAACCCAACCCAAGTTCCTTGCGCACCTTCAGGTAAACCAGCAGCTTGGGGTCCATGGCTGTCACATCCCATATCTCAACCACATCTGGCCGCTCGCAAGCCTGCTTCAGCTCCGCAATCTTCAAACGGCTGGCCAACTTGCGCTTCTTCTTGGACATGCCGGTCTCCTCCCCTTCGCTGTCGCCATCCTCCCCATCGTCCCGTGTCGCACCCGCCTCCTGGCCGGCTGGTTCGCCACCTGCACCAGCAAGGGGGTGCCGGCATGTGAGGTGGCTGTGCTCGCGACGAGTGTGATTGCCGCGCGGATGGATAAAGCAGCGCCAGGATCCCACAATCATCCATGGCAGCATGTGTGGCAACAGCAGCAGACAAAGTGGTTGTGTCACTCCAAAAAAAGCTGTGAGAAATCATCGCTGTTCAACACACCGCCCGCCCGCCAGGTGCACCACACCCAGCAGGGCCAGCGCACCTGTGCCAGCCCCACCCTCTTCCCCCTCCTCCCCATCAGCAGGCTCTGCCGTGCCCAGCAGATTCTCCACCGTGCCAAAGCGTTGCAGGATGCGCTGGAAGTCGGTCGGCGCTGGTGGTTGCTGCTCGCCGCCTTCACCGCCCGCACCTGGCGCCTCCGCCCCAAGCCCCAGCACGCCGGCCTCCGCCATTTCCGCATCGCCAGTGGGCGCAGCGCCTCCTCCCACCACAAAATCAAACTCCAGTGGCGCCGACACATACTCTATCTCCACCGCCTCCTCATCCTCGTCGTCCTGCAGCGCGGCGGGTGCAGCCGGGCGGAGAGTGGGGAGTCAGCACATCAGGCTGCCTGCTGGAGAAGAGCAGGTGTAGACAGCCAATGCAGCATGACTGAAAGACCGCTGCCCAGCAGCGGCTGCACTTGCTAATGGCATTGCTGCCAGCAGTGCTAGGTACGTGCGCCAGACGCCACCTTCCTTCCGCTTGGATGCCGACGTGGCTGCCTCGGCGGCAAACACGCGTACCCTCACCTGGGCCTTGGAGGGCTTGGCTGTTTTCTCCTGGACCTGGACTGCCTGCGCGGCGGCGACTGCCTCCCTGCATGAGTACGCGAAGGCCAGGCGTCGCGAAAGAGTGTTGCAGCGGCGGGGCGGGCGCGATTGCAATGGCACCGCGATCATCCCCGCAGTAGCACTCACTTTTCGGCCTTCTTGTTCTGCTTGCGCTGCTTGGCCTTGAGTTTCTTCTTCTGCGCTAGAGTGAGCTTGGCGGTGCCATTCTGCTGTGAATGAGCTGCACTGCCCCCCTCCTCCGCTGCCATCGTCTACAACGCTCCGGGGGCGGGCCCTGGCAGGCCCTGGCAGTGCCCAGTGCCGATGCCTTTGCCGTCGAGGTGTGCTGCGTGGGCTGTGGCTCGCAGGCAGCGGCTGGGAGGTGGCGTGTTGTTCGGCAGGGACGCCGCCCCATTTGTTGCGCAGGAGGCGCTGGAAAGGAGGGTGCCAGCAGGGCAGAGTGCGGAGGATGTGTTTGCAGCCCGCTGAGGGCCCCATGCAGCCAGAACCCGGTTCCAGGAGGCTTGCCTGATGTCCTGAGGCGTGCAGCAACTATGACTGCCCCGACTGGAGCCTCCTTCAACCCGACGCAGGAGGGGGTGGCCCAGATAGTCTCTCTGCTCACCGATGTGCACAAGCCGGGAGCCAATCAATCAGAGGTGCGCCCTGTTTTCAGCACCCACCTGGTATGGCGCCCGCCCGTTGCCTGCCCCCCCCCCAGCATGCACACCAAAGGGAAGGCAGGCTCCAAGCCAGAGGCGCGGACAGCCCGGGACGTGGGTCGGGCGGTGGCGGCGGCAGCGGCGAAGCAGTTTTATGCTTACCTGGTGCCTGTGTTCCTGCCCTTGGCAGGTGTATGCACAGCTCGACCGCTGCAAGGCTTACCCAGACTTCAACAACTACCTTGCCTTCATCTTCGCCTCGGGGGATGGGCTGCCCATAGAGGTCGGCCTACTGCAACCTGCAGCACCATAGCTGGCGTTGAGCCCGCCCCGCGTTGCGTGTGCCGTGGCGGCTGGCCTGCACGTGACTACAACTCTCCTGTCACCGCTGCCCTGCATCTTGCATGCCAGCAGGTACGCCAGACGGCGGGCCTGCTGCTTAAGAACAACGTGCGGGCACACTATGGCAGCATCGCAGAGGACTTTCGTGCCTTCATTAAAGCCGCGCTGCTTCCAGTGCTGGGTCATGCGTCGCGCCCGCTGCGCCACACCGCGGGCACCTGCGCCGTCACGATTGTCAACCTGACGGGGCTTGGCGCCTGGCCAGAGCTGGTGGCGACGCTGGCAGAGGGGCTGGACTCGGGGGCAGACAGCAACCGGGTGGAGGGAGCACTGGACTTGGTGTACAAGGCAAGTGCAGGGTGGCGAGGTGCAAGGAGGGGCCGCATCACAGCGCCCCTGCATGCGCGTTTCCACCGTCCTCGCCGGCATCGTGCAGGGAGCTGTCCAGCAGTGCTCAGTCAAGACCCTTCACAGCACCCGTCTTCCTGCTGCTTTGCTCTGTGTGGCTGGCTGCCGCAGATTGCCGAGGACCAGCCATTGCAGATGGACGCGCAGCTACCAGGCGCTGGCAACCAGCGGGTGGCCGATGTGCTGGTGCCCCGTGTGCTCAATCTGCTAAGTGCGCCCACTGCCGATCTGCGGGCCCTGGCTGTGTCTACGCTCAACCAGCTGGCCAACATCATGCCTGGCGCGCTCATTGACAACATGGACAGGCAAGTGCCTGGGCAGGCTTGGGGTGGGAGGCAGGGCTCTTCGGAAAAAGGGTGCACGCGGTTGCGTTCTAACCACAGCTTTCAAGCGCGCAGCTTCCAAGCACTGCAGCCCGTACAGCCATATTGGCGCAGGCCTTTTTGCGCAATTGGGTCCTGGCACACCGGCCCTCTGTCCACTTCTTGTGGCCGCCCTCCCTCCCCCGCGCTTGCTTGTTGCAGATTCCTCCAGGGTCTGTTTCACCTGGCACTCGACTCTTCCACCTCTGTGCGCAAGGCGGTGTGTCAGGGGTTGGTGGCGATGCTGATGGCTGTGCCCGAGCGCCTGGTGGCTTCCATGCCCGACCTGATTGAGTACATGTTGAAGAGCACGCAGGTGAGGCTTGCTTGGGGCTGGGCCTGTGTGTTGGTGGCAGATGCGGCAGCGGGGTGCATGAAGTCTTACGGGCATGGCCTGCACGGCAGCCTTGGGGCGCTGCTACCGTGTCGCCGCCCTGCACAAATCATTGATCTAACTTGCTCTGCCGTCATTGCTTGCCGTGTCCCGCCTGCAGGATGAAGACGAAGGCATTGCTGTTGAGGCATGCGAGTTCTGGACCGCTTTTTGCGAGTCGGAAGTGGACAAGGATGTGCTGCGCCCTTCGCTGCCCCGCGTGCTGCCCGTGCTGCTAAAAAACATGGTGGGTCATCGAGCCGGGCAGCAGCTCTCCTGCAATGCCACTTCCGAATGCGCAGAAGCTCATGCCGTATTCTACCAGGCGCTGCCCCCCGCATCCTCCCACCCCCACCTCACGCACGCAGGCATATGAGGAGTTTGATGAGGAGGTGCAGGATGCAGAGGAGCTCGAAGAGCAGGCACTACGGGGCAGTGCCACACAGGCAGACCGAGATGACGAGATTAAGCCCTATATCCACAAGTGAGGGCGAGGGGTACTGGAACTACAGAATATTTGGGTCGGCCGACGAAGCGAGAACGCGAGTCACAAGGCTGGCATGGGGCCTGTCTACCTGCACATCTGCCGGCGGGGGCGTGTCTGTTTGCCTGCAGGGGGACTGGCCATGGTGAGGAGGCTGCTGGAGAGGGCGATGAGGAGGAAGATGAGGAGGGCGACGGAATCGTGCATTGGAACTTGCGACGCAGCAGCGCTGGTGCGTGGCATAGTGTGGTGCTTGCAAGGGTTCTTGCAGGTTATACCGGCCGGCAACAGCTGCTTCTTCTGAACGGTATCATTAGTTGCGACATATTCTGCCCTCATCTTGCTTCTCACTCCTCCCTTTCCCTTGACTTGTCAACCATCTGGCTGTGCTGCTGTAGCGGGCCTTGACATGCTGAGCAACCAATTTGGCGATGAACTTCTGCCCATCATCCTGCCCATCGTACAGCAGCGGCTCCTCGAACCCGATTGGCGGGCGCGCGAGTCTGGTGAGCCACACTCGGGGAGCGCTATGCAGCTCTACTGCCACTCGCTGCCTTGCCGGATGTCTGTGGACGTGCTGCTGTACATTTGTCTGCTTGCTGCCGCATGCCATCACACATATGTGGTTCTCGGGAATCCCTGCCCCACTGTCGCTTTCCAGCCATCCTGGCGTTGGGAGCCATTAGCAATGGGTGCGCCACGGGGCTGGCGCCTTACCTGCCCGAGATGGTTGCTATGCTGCTGCCCACGCTCAAGGACGCACGGCCCATGGTGCGCTGCATCAGGTGAGCCGGCAAGTGAGGCGGCTCCGTTTTCCCTTGTTGGGGGTGGGGTGGGGTGGGGTGTGGCTGCGGCTGATGTGGGACAGGCACATGTTGGAGAGGGCAGCCCGCCAAACAGGAGCACGCCATGACACTTGCCTGTACCTCTACCTCCCTTGCCTGCGCGCGCGCGCCCCTCGTCCCCACCTCCATATCGGACCGCAGCTGCTGGGTGCTGGGACGGTACAGCAAGTGGCTCCTTGAGCGTGCTGAAAGCGGGCAACGCGGCGAGCTGGATTCCATGATGGCGGCAGTATGCGAGCGCTGCCTGGACCACAACCGCCGCGTGCAGGTAGGGAGGGGAGATGGGCAAGGGATTAAGGGGGGCGGCCACCCACCCGCCATCGCTGCCGGTGCCCACATCTTGGTCTTGCCAATAGTGTATTTTGCAAATGCCAGCAATTGCCATGTGAAACAAGCAACTGCTGATACATGGACTGTCTTGTTGCTGCAGGAGGCGGCCTGTGGCGCCCTGTCCACCTTTTTGGAGGAGGGCAAGCCGGAGCAGCACATGGCGCCATACATGGCTGCAGTGCTGCAAACACTGGCTTCCACGCTGCAAGTGAGTCAAAAGATGGAGTGGCTGCTTTACTTTGGGCTAGCCTCAAGGGAAAACTTGCGATAAGGCAAGGCTGCTCGGCTTAGCCCTATTGGTGGAAGTTGCTCGTGTTGAGTGCCATGGAATGCTGATGCGAACTGCCCTCCTTCTTTGCCACAGCTGTATGGCCGCAAGGCTATGCGAAGCGCGTATGACACCATCTCCACTGCAGCAGACCAGGCACCCGGCCTGCTCAGCCAGCCGGCATTGGCGCAGGTGTGTAGTGCCCCGGTTGGGGCAGTTGTTGCAGATTGGCAACGGGGCAGATTGGCAACCTCCAGCCATCTGCTGGGCGCGGCGGTGTCTTATGGCTACTGCCTCCATTTGCAGATCATCCTGCCTCCATTGTTTGGCAAGCTGGACACGCTGCCCGACGGGGATCGTGAGCTGCTGCCGCTTATGGAATGCCTCACGGCAGGTGCGTGTATGGGCACGGGGAAGAGTTTGTCTTTCTCCCATTGTGCATACAAGTTGCATTTCTCTGACGCGTGCTCACCCACTGGCCTGCAGTGGCGGCCAAGTCGGGGCAACAGACAGAGCAGTTTGCAGCTGCCTGCTTTTTCCGATGTATTGGCTTGATAGAGCGGGCTGAGCAGGTGGGGCACCCATCTGTGGCTGGTTGCAGCTGCTCCCCGGCTGCCTTAGTGTCCGGCCTTTACCGCACTGCCAGATCTCGGGCTGTGCTGCTCCTGTGACTTTGAGCACCCGCAAGACATGGCTGCGTCTTCTGCGCTGCACTGCAGGCTGCATCATCAGGCGCGTTCGACCCAGACGAGGCTGCCGAGTTTGTGGTGTGTGCCCTGGACCTTATCAGGTGGGTGGACGGTGGGATTCGTTGGGCCGGCTGGCATGGTGCAACCCCCATGATCTGGCATGGCACTACTGGAACCTGGTTACACCTCACTTGACACTTTCCCACTGTTTGCTGGCTGCAGCGGTCTGACTGAGGGTCTCGGTGTCAGCATAGAGAGCCTGGTGGGGCGTTCACCGCTACGCGAGATCATCGTGCGCAGCTGCAAGGTGGACCGGGAGGGGCTTTTGCAGCCTCTTGCTACCTGCGCAGCAATGGCGGACATCTCATTTGGTGTTTGCTTTGGCGCTGCCTGCATCTGCCGAATGCTGATCGTTTTCCCTGTGACCTTTTCCCTGTGTAGGACCCCGATGCTGACATTCGGCAGAGCGGGTTTGCGCTGGTGGGAGACCTGGCCAAGGCGTGCGCGCCACACATCAAGCCCGCGATGGTGAGCTCTAGGAGCCGTCTGTTGATGCTTCCAGGTAGCTGGCCATCGTCACGAGGCTCTAGCTCGCTCTTGCTGCTTATGGCAAACCCTGGGCTGCAGGCAGAAGTGTTCACATCGGCCATGTACAACTTGCAGCCGCAGATGATTAACCAGCGCACGCTGTCAGCTTGCAACAACGCGGCATGGTGCATTGGTGGGTCTACGCGGCTGATGTTCCCATGGTTGTTCCAGGGACGTGCGATTGCAACAGACTCCACCGATCTTTTCGCCTCTTCCCTGGATGAGCTCATGTGTTGTGTGCGTTTTGCAGGCGAGGTGGCTATCAAGTGCAGCAGCGAGGAGCTCAAGCCATTTGCGCTGCAGGCGCTGGAGCGGTTTGTTTGGATCCTGCAGGTACTGCTGTTGAGTCAATCTCTGCTTGCTCCGCGCATGTGAGCCTGCATCACTTCCTACGCAGTGTCAGCCCGGGTTGCAACCCCTGGCTCCCACCCTGCCCTGTTTACGCTGCATGCCCTTCTGGCATCACATCTTTACAGGTGCCCACGGGCTCACTGCCGCGCAGCCTGGTTGAGAACGCTGCCATTACGCTGGGCCGCATTGCATGGATGTGTCCTGAGCCCCTGGCGCCCCATGTTGCCGCTTTCCTTGGTTTTTGGTGAGTGCTCGCCGGGCAAATTGGAGGTGTGATGGTTTGCTTCTGGCTATTGGCACTGCCAATCAGGGGCAGCTGCTGGCATGACAGTTCTCGGCAGGCACTCTGCTGCCAGTGCATGCCCCCAGCCTGAATCGTCCTGCTCTGTGCCCCACACCTGCAGGTGCGCTGCACTGCGCGGCATCCGGGATGACATTGAGAAAGAGCACGCCTTCCTTGGGCTCTGCGCACTGCTGCGGCTCAACCCGCAGGTACGGCTGCTGCTGCTGCTGATGATCTGATAGCTGCTCACATGCTGCTGTTGCTGATGTGCTCGCATGGAGGCCATTTCTCGATGACGACGCAACGCTTCACCTTGCTTCCAGGGCGCGGGCGGCTGCTTCACTGTGTTGTGCGGGGCAATTGTGAGCTGGCGCCATGTTGGCTGCGAGGGGCTGCACAATGAGCTAATCCAACTCATGCAGGCAAGGTTTGCCGCCAAAATGCTTGGCTAGATGTACTTGTTCAGCGTTTTTGAGCCTAGCGCACGAGCGTGGCTTTCTTGATGCCCCAGTACCCTGCTCTGTGCCTGCAGGGCTACAAGGCGCAGCTCACGGGGATGGGCCAGTGGGATGCCGCCATGGCCACCCTTCAACCTGCAGTGCAGCAGAAGCTCAGCGCCATGTGCCAGCTTTGAGCTCACCCTCAGACCCGCCGTCTAGTTGCCCCGCCTGTGCCATGCCTGTGCCTGTCGGACAAAGCTGGAGGCCAGCCAGCCAGCCTTACAAGAAAATGTCATTTGCTTCACTGACTACCACCAGCAGCAGCAGCAGGGAGGAGCGCTCTTGGAGAGTGTGCCCCCTTTTTCGCCACGCATTCACTTGCCAGCCCTGCAATCACGCAGCTTAACCGTCAGCCGTTTCTGCACGGCAGCAGCCATCATCCCTCAGCACTTGATCCCTCTTTGTTCCCTCCTCTCGGGGTAGCACGTCAGCCGTTGCCTCTTCTTTTCTGTCAACCATGCAAGCTCCACACTGCCTGTCACGATGTTGCCGAGGTGGCAGGCGCTGGCGGCCCGATCTTATGCCACGTTCGTTCAGCTCCAAATTTCACCAGGCCGCTGGACGAATAGCATTGGCGTGCTCATGCTCTGAGCAAAGCAAGATAAAGAGAAATTGCCAGGGCTCCTCCCATCCGTGCTTGCAGTCGCTAAGAGGCAGTCGCGTCTCGTTTAGTTTGCTTTCTCATCCTACCGGTGTGTGGGGGAAAAGGGCAGGAGGGCAGAAGGAGGCAGCCTGCTGCGCCCATACTTATGAGCCGCAACATCTCTGAGAAGCAGCTGAAAGAGCTGCGCGCGGTGAGCAAAGCGGTGGCAGTAACCGGCGAAGCGGCCTGCAGCAGTGTGTGCTAGGGCGCGCCGTCGCCGCCACCACCCGTGGGCACTCTGGTGGTGCAACTCTGCAAGGGGCTCTGCCTGATCAGCTGCTGCCTTTTATCTTAGCTCATGATGATTGTGGCCCCCTGCCTGCAGGCGTTTAACATGTTTGATTCGGATGGTGGGCGGACTCGCCGCTCCAGCCAGCCAGCCGCCATACCTTGCAATACCTTGCTTCTTGTGCGACCTGGGCCCCGGGAATTCCCAATTTCCCCGATTTATTGCCACCTCTGCCCCTGTGCCTGCCCAATTCATTGTCCCTTGCAGGAAGCGGGTCCATTGATCTTTCTGAGTTGCAGAATGTGCTGCGTGCCATGGGCCAGTTCCCGACTCCAGTTGAGCTAGCGCAGCTCATGGAGCGCATGGACGCGGATGGCAACGGCACGGTCGACTTTACTGAATTTTCCGAGGCGCTGGCTGGTCAGGCAGAGGACAAGGAGACTGAGCGCGAGCTGCAGGATTTGCAGGATGTGTTCTCACTGTTTGATGCCGATGGCTCTGGGCTGCTGTCAGCAGATGAGGTGATTTGACTCGAGGATGCACGAGAGGGATGCGTAGCCAACAGGGCATCCAGAGCAGACGGCGGCACAGAGCGGGGGCAAACAGCAGCAGGCGGCATCTTCAGGCTGGGTTGCTTGGGGCTCGCCAAGCCGCTGGCCGCTGGCCCACCTGCTGCCACCTACCTGCTCTGGCCGCAGCTGCAACGCGCTTTGCATATCCTTGGAGTGAGCATGTCACGGGTTGAGGTGGAGCTGCTGATCAAGGAAATCGATTCCAACGGTGACGGTGAGATCAGCTGCAACGAGCTGCTGCAATACGTGCTGTCATTTGACGAGAGCGGCGAGGGGCCACACAGCGGCGATGTGGAGCGGGGGCCTCGGCGATAGCACCCGCCCGCTGGGCGCGCGGCCCTCAACTTGATGCCTGTCTTCAGCCTGTATCATCATCAATGAACCTATTGCAGTTTTTCTCGCGCTGCTATTTCGTTGTGTCAGTTCATTTGCATTCATACACACCTTCTCCCAGTCCTAGTCAAGTCGCGGCGCCGTGTGTTCCCGCCGCGTGCGCTGCCGTGCCCACGTGTGCCTTGTACGCCTGCAGCTGTGTGCGCAGCTGGCACAGGTGCTGCTGGTAGTGCCGCCGGTCCACCTCCATCTGGGCGCTGGCGTTCTGCCGGCTGGCATGCAGCAGGTCGAGGTGCTTCTGCAGTAGAGCGCTGTCCCGGGCGCCACTGTCGGCCGCCACCCGCAGCTCGGCCGCCGCCTGCTGCGCCGCTGCCTTTCTTGCCTCCGCTTCCTGCTTGCGCTTGACCAAGGCCGTGCGCTCTGCGTTCACGAGGAGAGAGAGGCAGGGCCCCGTGAGCTGTGGGCTAGCTGACGTTTCTTTGGCCCAGTCCCTCGTCGCACCTTGCTCCAGTTTCTTCACCTCGCGCTCCACGGCCTCCAGGGCGGCCCTCTCAGTGTTGAGAACGAAGCTAAGCTCGGCGCTGCGCAACTCAAACTCGGCCACGTTCTGCCTCGCCGCCTGCCACAGGTCTGCAGCCATTATGTTGGGGGGGCTTGCCTGAGATCGGAAGAAGCCAAACGAGGGCGTGCGGGCGCGTCATGCCGAGTGCCACCGAGCTGACTTTCTAGGATCAGTGGAACGATCGTGTGTGTGTGTGTGTGTGTGCAACCTGGATGGAGAAGGTGGATGGAGAAGGGTGGGTATGGTGTGAAGTGCATTTGTCCCCTTCTGCTTGATCTGCCCGGTGAGTCTGCCCCTTGCCCCTGCCACCGCGCCGCTTGCCGCTGCCACGCCGGCGGTCCGCCACCATGGTCCCAATCACAGACCACAGAATCATCCATTTGGCTTGCATGATAGGCGAGAGGTAGCCGCAACATGAAAAAAGGGTATGCAGAACACCACCATTCAAGGCAATATCAAGGGGGGTTGCGGCAGCATATCGGGAGCTGGAGCAGGGACAGTTCAGCGGGAGCTGGAGGAGTATGAGTGGCAGGCAGGAGAAAGGCTGATGCAAACAGTGTACATGAGAGGGTGAAAAGGTACATTGGTGTTACAGCATGGCCTAGTGCGAAAGAAAACGGCCTCACTAGCACAGGGACGATTGGCCAACTTCTTGAGTATCTCGGATAATGATCCTCAGAACCGAGGGCGAAGGGTGTAATGTGCGCGGGATGCCGTCAACAACGGGCTTGGCTGGAGCCGGCTGCTTAGTCCTCCTTCAGCATCACAGTTTCAAAGCCCACCACCTCGCCGCCGCGGCGGCGCACCACCTGCGGATGCACCTGCTGAGTCTCCGCTGCAGGCTTGGAGGTGTAGTCGCCCGCCTGGGCACGGGACAGAATGTATGTGCCTGGAGGAGTAGGGCGGGTGACGAAAGGGCAAGCAGGCCAGTGGGACAGACGCAGGGCGGACTGATGTTCAGCAAGCAGGCGGGTCGACTGAGCAGGACCAGAATGTTGCGCTTCGCTGTTGCAGCTCACCAAAGATGGATACCACATTCGCATACAGAATGCGCTGCACGCAGGGAGGCGAGGATGGAGGGCAAAGGAGTGGTAGGCTGAGGGGGTCAGACAGGGCGGCTGGAAGCGCCAACAATGCAGCGCGCAGGCGACGCGGGCAAAGCACACAGGCACGCTGGGCTGCGCCGGCACTGGAATGGATGGCTTAGCGCCAGGGTGGTAACCCTAGGCGCACATGCCAACCAAAGTGACCTCTATCAACCTGGCGGTTGGGCACCAGTGCAAAGTTGACAACGTGAGCAGGAATCCATAGCTTGTAGCCCGCCAGCATGGTTGGAACAAACTTCTCTTGCACCTCGCTGACGTAATCGCTGTAGCAGTGGCAAAATGGACAGACGGTTGGCAGACAGTTGGCAGAACAGCAGGCAAAAAGCATGCTTCCCTCCCGTGTGCCAGCCCACCGCCATTCTGACCTTGGCCGCCCCTCGGTTGCCACCTTGTAGGCTGCAAGAGGACAGCAGCAGTGGGCGTTGTGTGCTATCGGTGGTGCCTGCTGGTGCCGGGGTTCTGCAAGTGACGCATTTCGCACATGCGCAAGGAAAACTTTGCTCACCGTAGAAGATGGCAGTACAGACGGGGGCGAACAGGAATTGGTCGATGCAAATCTTGGTGGCGACTGCGCGCGGCGACTTGGCGGCGTGCGGCATCACGCGCTGCGGGTCGAGGCAAATGGAGAGATGATGCGAGCAGAAGTGAAGCGGTCAGACATACTGTTGAGGGCAGCCCATTACCCTCCTGCGCTGCTGTCAGAGCGGCTTGCTGACAATTCTTCAAGAACCCACCCCGTCCAGGACTCTGTAGTACTCGTGTCCAACCACGCCCATCGCCGAGTTGAAGATGGCCAGCCGTGCGGTGCGGCCCCAGTCGTACCTGCGCAGTCGGGTGCAGCCATCAATTTGGAACGCCAGCAGTGGCACGGGAGGGCAGCCAGCCCGTTACTTGCTCCTTATGGGTACAACAGACAAGACGGATAGCGGCAGCCGCAGTCCGGCGCCTTGGGGCGGGGGCGCCGGCTCGACAACACTCACTCCCAGTGCGGCTTGTCGCGGTTGGAAATGTGCTGGGCAAGGGCGTCGCCCAGGATGGCGGCCACTACAGAGGTTGTGCTTTTGGTGGCGCGGGGGTTCCTCTCAAGGTGGCCCAGGTAGGAGCGCCAGGCCTGTACTGGGGGGTGCACCAGCGCCCTGCTGATCGCCGCTGCTGGGTTCATCCTGCCCGCCCAGCAAGGGTGCAGAGAGAGAGGGCGGTCGCTCTAGAACTCGAATGGTGGGGAGGGTCTTGCTGTGTGGCAGAGCCTGTGGCTGACGTTGCCCGAAAGGGGTTGAGACGCGAAGATGAAAGTTTCAGCCTGAGAGCCAAAACCCAGTGCAGCTTCTTCCCAGCGACGTCGAGCTGGCGCGCCTGGTCAGACACCTGCCAACCCAACTGGACTTGCATCAAACAACAATTGCTGCAACACAGCCTGCCAGCACACCAGCACTGCTTGCAAGGCCATTCAGGCTTCACAGGATATCAAGCAGCTCCATGATACAGTTCTCCAGCACGTCCACGCGCCCCGTTGCATGCTGCAGCCGCAGCGTCAGCTCCAGCCTGCACTCCGCCGGCAGCACCTCGAAGGTGTCGACCGCTGTGGCAAGCGTGAGGAGGGGCAACTCTCAGTCCACCATCAGAGCGCTGCGGTGTGCAGGCGGGCGGGCAGACAGGCAGGCGCAGCTTGACGTGCTGTACACAAGAGCTTGCCTGCATTTTCTGCCTGAGCTGCGGAGTACTGGCTTAGCTTGCGGCTGATGTGCACCATGCTGCGCGACCCGGGCTGCCACCCTATCTTCAGCATGGCACTATGCACGGTTCCAGCCGCGTCCTGCAGGGACAGAGGGTTGGCAGGTGAAGATGCAGAGCACGGCAAAACGGCGCTGCATGCTCGACCGCCAGCTGGGTCATGTCGGCAGTGGTCTGCAGCCTTCCCCCACTCCTCACCCGCAGCAGCCTCTTGGCCACCAGCGCCACGGGCTCGGGGGTAGCCCCTTGCGCTGTGCCACCGCCATTGCTGCCTGCTGCTGGTCCCTGCTGCTGCTGCTGCTGAGCCTGCGGCGTCACCACGTCATTAGCCAGCCCAGCCAGCAGTTGCAACGGGCACCCCTCGTCGCTGATCCTGCCATTGCTTGCCCTGCCCTTCCTGCCGTTGGCTGCAGGCACAGCTGGTGCATCTACGGCAGTGCCTGCAGTAGCTGGGGCAGGTCTGTTGATCCTGATGCGCAGTACATTCCTGCCCTCTGCATGGCCTGTGGCCACCACTTGCGGCACACCAGTGCCTAATCCCTGGGCTGCGTGCTGGTGCTGCTGCAGCTTGGACCGGCCTGCCGGCAGCCAAGCAGAGCCAGCAGGAGGCAGGTGCCTCGAGCCCGTCGCCACTGAGCTACCACCGCCTCGGCGCCGGCGCCGGAAGCTGCTGTCGCCCGAGTGCGCTTCGTAGTCTGCAGCGGCAGCAGGGATAACAAGCAGCCAGGAGGAAAAGCGGACAACTGTCAGCAACGGCAATGGCTGGAAATACAGGATTGCAACCAGGAACACGGGGTGGCAGGAGAAACAGGCTAGTGCTTTTGTCTCACCGGACATGGGAGCATACTCATCATCGCTGGTGGCGGCATGCTGCCAAGCCTCGTCCAGGCCAACCACAAACTCATCTCCGTAGCGTTTAACCACGCGCAGCCGGCTGGGCCGAACGCCCCCCTCGCCCTCGCTGTCATCATCCCACTCGTACTCCTCCTGGGCCCCCTCGCCCTGCAGGCACAGAGCATCGCAGCTGTTGCCATGCTCCTTCCATCCATGCAAGACCCAGCACTCACATGTGAGGGCCTACCTTCGTCTTGCGCTTGCGACTGCCTCCACCGCCTCCCTTGGCCAGCGTGGGTTTCGCCGCCAACCGCGCCTCACGCTTGGCCGCCTGCTGCGCCGCCTGGGATAGGATGGTGGCGGCATTGGGGTTGCGGTCTGAAGGGAGGGTAGGCACGGCACACAATGTTGAGTGCTCACACAGCTTGGTCGGAATCAGCCAGCACACTGGGCGGCCGGGGCTACAACGGCATCTATCACGTGGGGTATCAAGGCTAGCCATGCACGTTTGCATCAAGCAGGTCAAGCACCTGCGGGGATGACTGTGAGGCGGGTGGTAGGGATGCCGCTTGCCCTGCTGGACACCACCAGCTTGAGGCCATCTCCCGGTCGGAGCGCCATTGCTCGAAACATTTTCTTGACCTCGCCGCCTGCAAAAGTTTGAAAAATGAAACACTGAAATAGAATCAACGCCACGTGCACATGCGCACTCATACGCATGGGTTCCGCATCGTACTGCCTTCCAGCATGCCAGTGCACGCTTTGTAGCTCATTAAATGCGGCTCACCCTGCAAATAATACTCGTGTTTGACGTACTCGTCTGCAGGATATCATGAAATGACAAAGGGCATGCTGTTCACAGGAGAGCCACAAATTTTGTGCCCGTGATGAGGCATGCACTTACACGCGTGCGCCTTGAGCAGGAACGAGACGGGGGCGCCGTCTGGGGCCTGTGCACCAACCACAAAGTTCAGGTGGTTCGCGCCCAGCAGGCTGTCATACCACTCGCGGGGTGGGCGCAGGCGTTTGGTGGTGCAGTCGCTAGGAGTGAGCGTGCACCTGCCGGGCGGGCAGGAGGAATGGTCAATGGGGTCGGCGCAGCAGAGTCAGACCGCGAGTAAAGCGCCCGTGTCGTCATGGGTCCCAATTGCCACCAGCTGATACCATCTCTTGCACTCACAATAGGTATTCCGTGCGGCCATAGTTTCTATAGCCGCGGCGCCACGTCGGCTTGTGTGGATGCGTCTCTTCGGGAATTGTCGGCAGAATCATATGCACTGGGGAGAGGGCGCTGGCACTGGCACACGCCACACCTCCCTGCTGTTTTGCGTCGCCATCTACTCCTGCTGGCTGCTCTGCTTCCTTGCGACCTATGTCGGCTGCTGCAGGCTCTGCCGCTGGGCGGGCATGCGGCTGCCGTTCCAATTCGCTGCTTGGTAGTGTCCACGGGGCGCTGGTGCCACTGCCCAGGCCTACTGCAGCTGCAATGGGCAGCACCGGCACCCCTGAGCTGGTGATGGCGGCAGGTCCGGCAGCTGCTGGCGAGTCGGTGGTGGCTGGCGGCGGGGGTGGCACAACTGCGGCAGGCTCGGCTGCCGACGAACCCAAAGCCACAGCTGGTTCTGCTGCTGCGTCTGAGACGGCTGGAAGGGCTGGCGAACTTCCAGACAGGCCAGTCTCTTCCATGGAGGTGGGTTTGCCGTGCCGCCTTTGAGACTATTGTAGGGGAAAAGGATAGGAATGCCGCGATGTGTTCATAGGCGGAGGGCCGGGGCGCGCGCAGGGGCACTGCCGCGACCGCAAGCCACCCTGCTTCTGCTTGTTGTCCGAGAGGCCGAAGAGGCAGTTGGCAGCGGGGGTTGTCAGCGCACGGACCGGATTGTTTAACGGTAGGGAACCCCCGCTGCGCTGTCGGCGCCACGTGGCAGGCTCAAATGCAGCATTCCATCCCAACTGGTCTGATGTTAATGATAGCACCAACATCTAATTCACCAAGAGAGAATTATGTTACATCTGAAAAGATAGGGGCTGCAGGCATGCAACCCGGGCGTCAGGGCTGCACACCTGAACGGGCTATACTGACTGTAAAACGGACTGTACATTGGAAGCGCTGTAATCCGCCGCCGTCCAGCAACAAAAAGATTGGAGGCAGGTTCAGGCCATCAGGAGCGCCGAACAAAGGCCCTGACCAGCGGGTGCTGCAGGGGTGATATGCCCTGCTTCGCTGCAAGAGTCTGCTGGTGTGCCGCCGCCAGCGCCTGCTCTGCAGCGGTGGCTGCCTGCTGGTGTCGCCGCGCATCCTGTACCAGCTTGGTCAACTTGACGCGTGCCTCCTCCAGCGCTGCTTGTGCATCCGCGGTCTCCTGCACGTGCAAATCCAAACACCACCTCTGGTTGACCAACAGCAACCCTCATCAAGCCTGCCGTGTTGGTGAGCTTGCCTTCAGCTTTGCCTCTCGCAGCTCCTGCAGCTCCTCGAGGCGCTGTTGCACCACCGAAACCTCCGCATCTACGCTCTCAATGCCCTGCATTGTGAGGAGGCACCAACCAGCATTGCAGGGAGCATGCAGCATGTGGCAGCGATGGGTGAACCGACATGAGCAGGAGCAGCCGGGGCCACGGCGCGAACAGAGCTGTCTCAGCCTTCTCAGGCCACCTGCTGCCGCTGCTTGATTGCATCTTCAAACCCGGAGATGGCCTGCTCCTCGAGCTTTGCGGAGCGCTCCGCTGCAGCAGCCTCTTGCAGTTCCTCAGCCACCTCAGCAATCAGTCCCTGCTCCGACCTGGATGCCCTATACACATCAAGCCCCACCTGCGGGTCAGGAACCTCAACATGCACATGATCTGGCAGACCCTCAGGCGCAAGCAGTGCCAAACCCTGCCCAACGCATAGAGCATGCGGTGGAGCGGGTGGCGGCACGGCACAAACAAACTGCGCCACCACCCTCCCGCTTCAACAAATCGCGGTGCAGTACAAGTTGTTTGTTATGACACACTCACAGCTCCTAGGTACAACCCTACAGCGCCTCCAGCGACCAAAAACGCCTTGCCCATGGGCGCGTGCTGTCAGGCGCACCGGGGGAGACTGGCTGGCCGTGTCGATCGTCGATCTAGCAAGGTAAGCCACACGAAGCCAATTGCATATGCAGGTTTCCACGCATTTCCAGCATGCATCTGTGTGCTGGCGTGGATGGATGGGTTCATCTCCTGACGGCGGTTCCCGCCATCTGTGGCGTGCATTTCACCAACCAACATGCAGACCTCCGTCCTGACCTGCGCAGGCCTGGGCAAGCCTGCAGTGAAAACATGCAAAGCGCCTCGCAGGGCAGTGCAGGTGGTGGCCACCTCCGCTAGGTGAGGCAACCGCTCTGTCTGTCTGCATGGTGGAGCAGCAGGGGCGAGCGGGCAGTGAGTGATGGGCGGATGGAACTGTGGGCGTGGAGGCCACAGCTCGTGAGACCAAGCCAGTCGGACGCCCCGTGACGAGCTCGTGCGAACAGCCGATGCACCGGGCCGGCCAGCTGGCGGAGTGGCAGCGGAAGCGGGAGCGGGGCAGCGGGGAAGTAGTGGGGGCCAGCCCCCCGCCTGGGCGGCTGTGCGCGACAGTAGGCTTGCGCGTTGAAAGCTCCCAGCTCCCAGCCAACCTGCCATCACACGAGTTCCTGCTCCGGCACGCGTGCTCACGCTGCTGCGCCGCAGGCATTCGTCCAACCTGTGGACGCCCACCTCGCAGCGCGGTGTCGACTTTGGCAGCAGGGTGGCGGCCGAGAATGTCATTTATGCCGGGCAGGGCCCGCCGCCGCCCAGCCCAATGGTGGTGGAGCGATTCCAGCAGGTCATCTCGCAGCTCTTCTCGCAGGTGAGTGGGCGAGCGACATGGGGCATCACTGCATGCCTGCCGGCGGGCTGGCAGTTCTCGGAACTGATTGCAAATGTATGGCTTGGGTGCTGTGGTGAAGCAAGGATCAGCTGGTTGCCTCGTGCCTCTTCACCATTCCGACCCAGCTGGGCGCGCACCGCTGCCCGGACCAGCCCGGCCGTTTCCTGCTCTGCATGGCTTTGCCCGATGGCTGTCAACGCATTCGAACGGCCGCTGTGCCCCGTTGTACCCACCCCTGGGCAACTTTGCCCCTGCCGTGTCAATTCTGCAGCGCATAGTGCGGCTAGGCGGGCCGGTGGATGATGACATGGCCAACCTGATTGTGGCGCAGCTGCTCTACCTGGACTCGGCGGACCCCAACAGGGACATCACCCTGTACATCAATTCCCCTGGTGGCTCTGTTACCGCAGGTGCGTGGCTGGGCATGAGAGCAGCAGCAGCCAGATTTGCCGCTTTCTGTCCTTTTCTATTCTGTCCTTTTTTTTCCTTTTTTTTTATAACGCAAAGTAAGCTGCGTTTTCACTTCCGCCCGAAAGACAAATGTGGCCCCGATTGCAGGCATGGCGGTGTTTGACACCATGCGCCACATCCGCCCCAACGTGTCCACCGTGTGCGTGGGCCTGGCAGCGTCCATGGGTGCCTTCCTGCTGGCGTCTGGCCATCAAGGCAAGCGGTACAGCCTTCCCAACAGCCGCATCATGATTCACCAGCCCCTGGGTGGTGCCCAGGGCCAGGCGGCTGACATTGAAATCCAGGTGGGCGGTCAGCCGGCAAGGCGGAGGCAGCTGCTGAAAGGGGGTTGGCCAGGGTGCACTGCGTGATGCACCCGCACCCACTGAAGAGTGTTTGACAGCGAGTAGCATGTTGGCCTTGTTGGCAGGCAGGTGGCCCCGCCTGTTAGCCCCTTCACATTACTGCGGGGTAGTGGCCCTGCAGGCGAATGAGATCCTGCATCACAAGCTCACGCTCAACGGCTACCTGGCTGAGTTCACGGGGCAGAGCATGGACACCATCACAGCCGACACCGACCGTGATTTCTTTATGAGCGCACAGGAGGCGGTGAGCGCCTGGCCGAGCATCATTTGTCCTGCCTCTAGATGCCACGGCTTCATGCAACAGCGCTCGACTTTTGAGTTGTGCACCATTTGCAGGTGGAGTATGGCCTGATTGATGCAGTGGTGAGCAAGCCTGTGCTGGCAATGGCATAACTGGACATCCTCCTTGTGGTTTGCGCGGAGCTGGCAGCGCCGTTAACTGCCTGTGCCGCCCATTAACATATGGGCAGCACGGCATGCCATCCCACTCCCTGCACATTCTCGGCGGTTCTGCCCTGTACTATCTTGTCGCCTAAACCTGTGGCAGTCCAATTGTTCCTCTCCTTAGTAACCAAACGCAATCCTTAGTAACCAAACGCTGCGACCAGAGAGAGCGGCGCTGATTCCGGTCTGGGCTTGTTCTGGGCAAGAGAGGCTGTGGCACTTGAGCATCGCAGCAGTTACACCTTTCTTGGGCTTGAGTGACAACCCAGCCAGCAAGGCAGCGCAGAAGCAGAATATAAAAGGCATCACATCATTGGGATTGGGCACTATCTCACACTCTCAATAAAATGATGGGGTGCCAGCAGGCAACAGCCTGCGTCGCACTGTGTGGCTGGCTTAAAACTCAAAGCCCAAACCGTTGCCGGTGGTGATGCCGGCAAGCTCCAGGATGCCCTTGCCGGCAATGCCCTCAATTGCCAGCAGCAGGAAGAAGCCAAGCTGCAGCAGAAGCAGCAGGGTGCAGCAGTGAACTGGAAAGGCGCAGGAGGGCGGCTGGTTTGCCGCACAGCCCATCTACAGCAGGGCCAGGGCGCTCGCGCAATGTCGCAAGCAGCCCAGCCGCAAGAACAGCACGCACCATGGCAGCCCGGCTGTTCAGTTTCTCAGCATTTTCAACGAAGCCGAAGGTGGAGGGCATGACCACCGGCTCAGCAGGAGGCAGTGTGACGCCCTGCACAAAATAGTGGTCGAAACTGAATGACCATGAGTACCGGCGCTGGGGGCCCAGTGAGGCAACAAAAAGGTGGGCAACGAGGTCGTTGAATGACCATCCATCCACGGTGCACAGTGCAAGGGGTCGGGCGCGCCATCTGCAACGCCCTTGCACGGGAAGGCGATGATGCCGCCGCCCGTGGCGATTGAGCCAAGGCACAGCCCGATAGTGCAGTCAACCAGGTCAGCTTGCCTGCGGCGGCTTGATTGCTGCCTGCAGCCGCACAGCCAGCAGGCGGGAGCGTGGCGCTGCCACTTGCCGAGGTGCCGCCCTGCAGCAGCAGAAGGAGAGATTCGCGAGGCGCGGCGTCATCCAGCCACACAAAACACTCGTGTGGTGCAGCCCGGGGCCTGGTGGGCGATCCGGGTGGTGCAAGGCGTGGGGCGATCGAAGTGGCATGTTGCCCTCCCACACACCTGCTCAGGCTGTTGCGCTGCATCTGCTGGCTGCTGCTGCTGCTGGCGATGGCCTGCATGATGGATTTTGGCGGCCTGTGGAGGTGGGAGCTGCGGGCAGCTATGGCCTGAGGGCTGTTGCGAGGAGTGGGGGGCAGGTACACGCCGCGACGAGCTGCAGACTGGTGCAATATGCAATGGGGGTAGCAGCTGACCCTGACCAGGCCGAGCTTTCATGCAGAACTTTCCACCGGCATGCTTTTGCCATCGCCGCCAAACAGGGCGCGGGTTGCCCTAGCCCGCCCTGATCCAGAAGCCAACACGGTCAGGGGGGCGAGGCACGCTGTTATCGCCCTCAGCGCCGGTTTGCAGTCTGGCCGGGCCCGTAGTTGCCCCCGGCACGCGAGTCCCCCGCACGCCGACTTTGGAAAGCCACGCAGTTTGATAGGCAGGCCAGCGGGGCGCGGCGCTGTATGGCAACGTTGGGCTAAGCCCCAGCCCCGCCCGCTAGCCCCGCTTTGGTATGGGAGTTCTTTCGTTCCTGGGCAGGACATTCGCACGCAGTCGGGATGAGCCCAGGTGAGCGGGTCGGCTTGGTGCGCTCCGGGAGATTGGGGCGGCCTCCTGCACCTGACGGCGCGGCGACCGATGAGTCGTGCACATGGGACCGAGGGGGTGGGGCTGGCCGTGATCGCGCCAGCACAGCCCGGCGCACCCCAGCAAGCCACAAGCCGGGCACCCCAGTCCCTCTCTCTCTGCCTTGCAGTGAACAAGGTACCATGGAGGCACGTGTGAGATTGCGCAGTGGTGGGGGAGGGCGAGCGGCCGCAGCCGCTGCAGCTGCAGCGACCGCCGGCGAGCCCAAGCTGCCGCGTGGCAGCCGCGAGACGGCCGCCCTGCTCCGTGCGAATGGCTATGGCGTGCTGAACCAGGAGAAGCTGCGGCACAAGCACGATGTCCCAGCAGGCGCGCCCCAGCAGGCGCCCCCCCAGCAGCAGCAGCAGCAACGCCACGTGCGGGTAATGGAGCCGCCCGTTGCGCAGGCCGCGCGGCGCCCTGCCGACAAGCGCAAGCATGCGGAGCCATCTTCCTCGGAGGATGAGCGCCCTGTACGCTCCACCCGCAGCGGGGGCGCGCAGCAGCAGCCTCACGCGCTGCAGGGGGGCGGCATGAAGCGTGTCCGCAGCTCCTGGAAGATGCGCCCACTGCTCGTAGGTGGGTACAAGCCAAGGCGTATGGCAGGGGCCAGAAGCAGGCAGCTGCTCTGGTTGCCTATGCTCAACGCCCTCGTCATGGCCTTCTGCAGACGAGAAGCTGGCTGTGTTTCTAGAGGGGCAGGATGACGCTCTGCTGCACTATGATGGCGGCGAGTTCTACCAGTGGCTGCGAGACTGCGAGGCCGGTATGCACTTAGTCCTGGGCTACTGGGGCCGCTGCAGGCACTCATGCATGCACCCGGCTGCAAGAGCCGCCACATACTGGCATTGAGACTTTGCTGGTGGGCACACGCTTGCGCCCTGCTGCAGGCAAGGCTGACCCCGCCGAGGGCTTCCCCTACCCCTTAGTGGTGCAAGACAAGGATCTGCGCACGCTGCTGGAGATCAAGCAGCCGGAGCAGCAGCCTGCCGCCGAGCTGCGGCAGGTGGTGGCGCCAGCGGCAGCAGGCGGCGCCGCAGATGAGCGCATTATCGTACCCACGGTGCGGATGCTGCCTGCAACGGAGCAGCCCGATCTTCTGGTTCGCGAGCAGGAGCCACCCGTGGTGCAGCGCATGCTAGCTCTAGAGCAGCCAGATGTGGCGGGTACCTCGGCGGCGGCGCTGGCGGCCTCTGCCGCTTGGCAATCTGCTGAACTCGCTGTGGCGTTGGACCTGCCCTACATCCGCTACGTGCAGGTTGGTGTGGGGCAGGGTGTCCCCACTATGACATTATGTTGGTGGCTGGCATTCTGTAGGCCCACTGTTTCGCCCGGTATGGCATGGCTCGACTGTCCAGTTTAGCATCCGCTCGCCTGCCTGCAGCCCACTCCCGATGATCTGGACCTGGCTGTTGAATTCAACCTGGACGAGGATGATGAGGAGTGGCTAGCGCAGTACAATGTCGAGGTACTGCCGTCCACTGGCCGCGCAGGATAGCAGGAACCGCTGCTCGAGGCATGCGTCTAGCTATTCCTTTGTTGCGCTGTTGGCTGGCTGGCTGACCCAGGCTACTCCTTGCAACCCTTTGCTGCTACTTAGCAGGCCAAGCGTGCCAAGAGCCGCAAAGGGCGCCGCACATTGGGAGAGGAATGGATGGAGCACCTGATAGACCGCATGGAGAAGGAGTACACAGCGGAGCTGCAGGTGGGCAGAGGTTTGGTGTAAATGAGGCAGGCCTGTGATGCATGCAGCACGACATCTGAGCGGCCTCCATTTTGGGTGTTGCCTTCCACCTGCTGCAGAGGCACCCCGGCAAATGGGTGGTGCAAGCTGCCGATCCCAGTGCAACCGACCAGCCTCCCAACATCTCCATCCCCTCTATCGACGAGGTGTTCCCCCTGGAGAAGTGCCTGCAGGTGGGCAGCTAGGCGGAAGGTATAACAACCGTGCCATCGCCTGCTCACCCAAACGCGGTGGCTGTTGCATCTGCTTGTTGGCGTCCGCCTGCAGTTTCCCTTCCTGCACGCTTGCTGTTAATTTGCGTTCTCCTGATAACTTTGGTTACTTCACCCACAGGTGCCTGGCATCAATCACTATGAGAATGTCATTGTGGCAGTGTACGATTACTGGAAGGCCAAGCACGAGCGTGCAGGGCGCCCTCTGATCCAGCGCCTGTGGTATGAGCCACCCTGGGACCGCAAGAAGGCAGCGCAGCGCCTGGCCAGTAATGCGGACGACGGCGAGGGCGGTGTCGGCGAGGACGGGCCATTCTGGGCGCAAGACTCGCCGGTGGCTCTGGCGGGCATCCGTAAGCGGCGCATGGACCCCGACGAAGCCAAGGCGCGATTTCAGGAAATAAGGTGGGGCCTGGCGGGGCTGGCACGACTGCGCTGCATCCGCAGCGGCTTAGCTGCAGACGCATTTAGTTTGCTGGGGACCAGGAGCTCTGCACTTTACTGCCGCCGCTGTGGACCTGCATGCAACTGTAGGCGCGACCTAGAATCTGCCCGCACGCTTGCTGACCAGATTCGCAAGCGTGAAAAGCTCAAACGACGCGAGCTGCAGCTGTACAAGGAGGAATGGGCAGCACGCATGCAGGGTGAGTGCGAGGGCAGGAGGCAGGAGCTGACGCTTGCTGCTCCTGCCATTTGTCCAGCTCCAGCAGCAACCAATACATTTGCCTGGGCTCCTTGTTGCTTGCAGCGATTCGGGACGGTGCAGAGCGCGTGGTAGTGCAGCAAGGCAGGGTGAAGGACCCGCCCGCCCAGCTGTCAGCTGTATGGCGCATGGAGGCTGCGGGAGCAGGCTTACTGCCTGAGTACAGCGACGAGCTGGATGAGGACCATGTAGCTGTGGGGGCACCGCAGGATGCAGCAGCGCAGGCAGAGGAACGTGCGGTGAGGCTGGCCCAGCGGCGCTTGGCGCGCGACGTCGCAGTGGTGGTGCCGCTGGCCCGCGCTCCCGCGCAGCAGCAGCAGCAGGTGCCTCGGCCTGTTGGGCGGCCTCGTGCATCTGCGGCTGCTCCCGTGGCTGCATCAGCCCAACGCAGGAAGGAACGGCAGCCGCCGCGGTCTGCTCAGCCTGGCCGAGCGGCAGCCGCCCCTGCAAGCCCCATTCTCAGCCAAGGCGGCAACGTGCGCGGGCCGCCTGCCGCACCTGGTGCGCTCGCTGCTTGCAATCACCCGGTCCTGCGTGTTGTCATCCGAGGTGCCCTCAACCTGCCACTGCTTGTTGTTGTGTTGCAAAAAAACACTGGCATTGACCTTTTCGCTTCCCTTAGCATTCCATTTGCTGGCCTGCAGGTGTGCGGCGCGTGCGGACGTGCATATGGTGCAACAGCGACGAGTTCCTCATGCTGGGCTGCGCCTCCTGCCCCCGGTGCTTCTGCTTCAAGTGCTTCCAGCGGCGCCCAGGCCTGGGCATCAACAACTGGAGCAGGGCAGGTGAGGCAGGGGTTCATTGCCTTGCAAGTTTGCACACTAAACAACGAAGCAACAGCATTTGCACTTTGTACCTGGTCTGCAACTCAAGTGGAGCACCCCTGGATCTGCCCGCCCCCTTTCACCGCAGTCAAGGATCCCCGCTACACTTGCGTCATCTGCCGCGGCCTCGAGGTGGAGGATGCGCCGTCAGCCAACACAGCAGACGTACTGCCGGCAGTGGATGCAGCAGATGCTACTTCGCCCCGGCGTCGTGGGCAGCAGCACGCGCGGCGGCAGGCGCAGCAGCAGCAGCAGCAGCAGGCAGCAGACCGCGCCGAGCTGCTGGATGATGCCCAGCAGCTGGGAGTGGAAATTCCCAAGGGCCTTGGCGGCGCAGCGCTGCGGTCCTACCTGCTGAAGCGCCAGCGGGAGGTTGAGGAGCATGGGGCCGACAGCAGCAGCCAGGAAGAAGAGGCGGATCAGCAGCAGCAGCAGCAGCATGGACATTTGCGTGGAAGGCCCCCTCGTGCAGTTGCTGGTGCAGCAGCGCATGCCACGCATGGGCGTGCACGCCGGCAGCAGCGACTTGGTGCTAGCAGTGGCAGCAGCGAGAGCGGCGTGGATGAGGAACAGCGGCGTCCCAAACAGCGCAAGCTTGGCGGGGCAGCCCTGGCCTCGCATCTGCGCCGTTTGGAGCAGCGGCGGCAGCAGCGGCAGCAGCAGCACGCATCAGACCATGAACAGGCAAGCTTTGGCGCTGCAGAGGAAGATGGTTGGCCCTACAACCACATCCCCGCTCCTCCCCGCAAGCTGGGGGGCGCCGCGCTGAAGAGCTACATTCGGCGCCAGGAGCTGCTCCTCGAGGAACCGGATGGGTCTGACAGCGAGCAACCTGCTACCAGTGGGCAGCCGTTGACAGCAGCAGAAGAGTGGCCTTTTGCCCACATCCCGCCGCCTCCTCGCAAGCTGGGTGGCGCAGCCCTGCGCTCCTACATCAAGCGCCAAGAGCTGCTGCTGGCAGAGCAGCAGGGCAGCGATGCAGAAGGCGGCCGCGAGCACCAGGAGGCGACCTCTGATAGCGAACAGCCGTCAAGCAGCCACGGAGTCGCAGCAGCAGCAGATGAGGCCTGGCCCTACACCCACATCCCCGCTCCTCCGCGCAAGCTGGGTGGTGCCGCGCTGAAGAGCTACATACGGCGCCAGGAGCAGCTGCTGGAGGAGCAGGACGGTGGCAGCGAGCCCTCTGGCAGCAGCAGCGGCACTGCGGAGGAGTTTGGCGCTAGCAGCAGCGAGGATGAGGGTGCTTCTGGTGTGCTTGGCATGCCTGCATGCGGTTGTTCGCCCTGGCATCTGCTTGCGTGGCCAAGCTGCTGCAGCCCTCGTGCCATCCTCGCTCATCTCTCGCATCTCCAACATGCAATGCAGGACCCGCAACCCGGCACGGCGGCAGCAGCGACGAAGAGCGGTCCGACCACAAGGAGAACCTTGCGCCGCCGACCAAGCGGCACCGCGCCCTGGGCGGCGCCGCTCTGGCTGCCCACTTGCGCAAGCAGTCGCTGGCAGCAGCTATGTCCCAAGGGCGGCGGCCTGGTCCCAGCGCCGCTGCAAGTGGCAGGCGTGCCAGCCGCGATGCGCATGGGCTGCTGGAGCAGGCAAGGCGGCTGCAGGCACGGCGCAACTGAGACTGGTGTTTGCTTGCTTGTTGTACCAATCATGTTCTGTTCTTCTATTCCCAGTTCTCTTGCCCCCCCCAACCACCACCACCACACACACGCGCGCCTGTCCCAAAAACCTTCTTTGCCAGCCCTGCTGGCTGGACTTTGCCCGGGTGCCCAGTACCTTGTGGCCCTTTTGCTCCTGTGGTTGAGGCGCGTTGCTGCTCAAACTTGTTGACATTAGCAGCATAGCAGGCAGACAACAGCTTGTTAAGAAATTGAAAACTCAACGGATTGGTGAGGCAATCACCAGCGACCATCGTGCCGCTCAACAGTTGCAATCCTCCACTGATTCTGCCATTCATCAGGCGTTGGTACATTGAACTGGGCCGCTTCAGATTCTGACAGTGCAGTTGAGGAGTACAGAGCCACCCCAGCACGCGAGCCACGAATGGGAATGCCTGCGCCCTAGGCGGTGGCCGCCGCCGCCTCCAACGGCACCACCACAGCAAGCACATGCCCATCCTCCACCTGCGCATCCACAAAACTGTGCAGCTCTGCCACCGTGCCGTTGCAGGGCGCTCGCACCGTGTGCTCCATCTTCATTGCCTCTACCACCACCAGCGCCTCTCCCTCCTCCACAGTCGTGCCCTGACTCACAAGCACCTGCATCATGCACGGGCGTCAGGCAGCGCAAGAGGACAGTCAGTATGGTTGCCAGGATTCACAACATCGTTTGCAGAGCACCCCCCTCCTCAAAGCACTTGCCTTGACAATCCTGCCTGGCATGGGGGTCACGACGGTGCCAGCCTGCTGGCTAGACACCCCGCTGCGAAGCCACTTGCGCACCACTGGCCGCCTGCAATGCACGGTCGCAACAGTGCCCTTGAGGCCGTGGGCAGCCTAAGCACTGCGACGAGATGGCATGCTGGTGGACACAGCCATGCCAGTACCCGCATGGTGACAAACGCCAGGTGCAAGGCGCACCTGAACTGGTACTGGCTGCCTGCCACCCACAAGTCGAGCACCTCCTCATCCCCATGGCTGCACCAGCGAGACAGCAGTCGGGAGGGCAGCAATGCTGCAATCATACATGGTATGCAAGCTTGCAAACCACCAGACTGCAACAGGACACGTGCTCACCTGTGCAGGCACCAGGTGGCGGCCATCCTCTGCCCGCCCACCTCGGCGCACACACTGTCCTCCCCCAGCTCCACACCGGTCACTGCCACGCTGGTGGCACTGCTGACTTGCATAGAGCCATCCCGGCTGCGAGACACGGCGAGTTCATGCTGCGCAGCATCCAAGGCAGCAATTCGGGCGGTATGATTATTGATTTTGTCACCAGCGATACAGCAAGGTGGTGCGCCCTGCGCACCCATCTCACCTCGGAGCCGCTGCCAGGGTGACTGAATCGCACTAGACAACTTAAGCCAAGGTTCACCCTGCAGCAGCAGCATTGGAGGATTGTAGGCTGCTGCACTTGGGCCCAGCTTATGGCTTCACAACCTTCCCACACACCTGAAGTTGCTTGACAAGCTCCACGGCCCTGGCAGCACGCCTTGCACAGCCTCTTGTGCTCGCCGCATAGCCGTCTGCTGGAACACCAGTGCTGCCAGCGCCAGCACGCTATCTTCCACTGGCTCGGCGCCCAGCAGTTCGCGCTCGTGCTTGGCAATGAAAGAGGTGTCCACGGCGCCCTGCAGGCGGGCAATCACACCAGGCGGCATCACAGCCCGAATCAAGCGGTCGCACGCTGCCAGGAAAATGGCAGCTGGGCCCCAGGCTTGCCTCCTGAAACTCCCGGTTCTGGGTTATTCTCTTCAGGAATTCGGTGTTGGTGGGCAGGCCGCTGACCTGCACAAGCAGACAGTGTGGGTAAAGGTCCAACATCTGCGCAAGATCCAGTTGCACCGTCTGTGGTTATCAGCTCATCATCCGCCATACCGCAGGGGCTAGATGTAATCACCTGTAGCTGCTGCAGGGCATTGTGCAGGCTAGCGAGTGCGGTGGCACGGTCTGGACCGGTGCAGATAACCTTGGCAATCATGGGGTCGTAGTTGACTCCCACCTGCAAGCCAGGAGCGCCAGGCATTCCACAAGGGCAATCGCGCCGCCACGCCAGTCACACAGAAAACAGGCAGCGGACGCTGAGAAGAGGCATGCAGCCACAGACGGGGCAGCACAGTAAGCCAGAGCAGGCTCTCGCACCGCAGGCAGTTCCGGTGAGGCTCCAGCCGCAGCGGCAAAGGGCAACCCAGGCAGCCCAGGCGCACCAGGTCCCCCCGCTGCACCCCCGAGTCCACTCTCAGCGGGCCGTCCTGGAAGAAAACGGCATTTGCAGGCACCGACCACCGCAGCACCCTGCATATGGATGCAAGCTCTCTTGGCATAGCTGCCGTAACTTCCGGTGGGCAGGACAAAATCCATGAGGTGCATGAAGCAGTAGACGACAGGCAGGCATCATTGAAAACTCAGCCACATGCTGGCTGAGCGGTTTGCCATGCTGCCAGGGCTGTCATCTGCACTCGCCTGCCGCCTGCAGGCAGGAAGTTGTTCACTGGGTCCTCGGCGTACAGCCGAGCCTCGAATGCGTGCCCCTGCACAGGCACCCAGAGCAGTCAGTTGGTCGGGATGTAAACAATTCGTGGCCTGGGCCTACGCAAGACCGCCTGCAGAAGACCGCCTGAGCCCAGGATGCAATGCCTGGCTTGCTAAATTCAACACAGCGTGAGATCCCCTTCCGCACCCGAATCTCCAGCTCCTCCTGCTGCACCGGCAGCGGCTCCACGGCAGCCACCCGGAGCTGCCACTCCACCAAGTCCACGCCGGTGATAGCCTCGCTGACCGGATGCTCAACCTGCAACATTAGAGCAGTTTTAACCTCAGCCAACAGCATGCAGCAATTTTCAGCCAACATTTGGTCGGGCCCCTGATTCAGCCTTCAGCCCTCCCCCAAACCACTACCCACACACAACCACCAAGATACCTGCAACACTCTAAAACCACCTGCAAACGCGTGTTCATCTCCATGAAGAAGAAGCCCTGCGGCTGGCCGCTGCTGCCGCCGCTATCCACGTCCACAATGAACTCAACGGTGCCTGCATTCTGGTAGCCCACTGTGCCGACAGGCGGAGGAGGGGCGCACAGGAAGGGATCAGGTCGCCGCAGGCCGCACCAAACAGCTTTGCACGACTGCGCCCAGCAGCACCCTGCCAACACAGTCAATGGCAGGTCATTCACCTGCTCGGGCCGCCGCCACTGCCGCCTCGCCGATGGAGCGGCGGAACTCTGGGGTGATGCCGGGGGCAGGTGCCTCCTCAATCACCTGCAGGACAGGCAGGTTGGAGCTGGCGGGTGGCGGCGCAACAAGCGCAACAGGCGCCGGTCAACACAGTCAGCAGTAGCGCCCCTCCAGCAAGCAGAGGTTCGCCTGGACCGTTCCACTGCCAGCCAACCTTTTGGTGCCGCCGCTGCACAGAGCAGTCGCGTTCAAACAGGTAGACCACGTTGCCGTGGGCATCGGCAAACACTTGCACCTGCACGATGGAGGCCCTGACAATCAGCACTGTCGGCAGCAGCACCCTGGCTGCCACCTGTCGTGTCGGCAGTTTGCAGGCGGTCCAACCAGCGATGGTGGCTTAGCGCACCAAGTTGGCAGGCGCCCGGCCGGGCCTGCCATATACTGTCCCGCACCTCAATGTGGCGTGGTCGACGAATGAAGCGCTCCAGCAGCACCCTGTCGTCGCCAAAACCAGCCAGCGCCTCACGTTTGGCAGAGTGCAGTGCATCCTGCTTGCGGCACAGGAGAGGAAATGATACCTAGCTCAGCAGGAGGGGGATTGTGCGCTGATGGCTCAGTCACGCACCAGGAACTGCGAGGGCTCTTGCGCCAGCTTCATGCCCTTGCCGCCACCCCCCATCACCGCCTTGACCAGCAGCGGGTACCCCACCCGCTCAGCCTCCTCCTGCAGCGACCCAGGCGGCGCCCTAGCCAGTCAGGCAGGCATCCAGGCGCATGCATGCATGATGACTTGCACCTGCCCTAGCCACTTGCACTGCACTCTAGCACGCAATGGGCCAGCCACCTCACGCCGTTGGCTCCATTCCCGAGTCAGCCCACCTGCAGCCTGTGTTCCGCTTGGTCCTCTCCATGGTACCCCGGCACCACGGGCACCTGAGCACTGCTCATTAGCGCCTTGGCCTCAGACTTGTCGCCTGCGGGGGGCAAGCAGGCAGAGGCCCGCAGGTTCAAGGACAAAGCAGCGCTTGTATGGGGTTGGGGATGCTTCGCCGCGCATCTTGCCCTGCCGCAGCACCCTGGGAAGTCCCAGCGAGCCCGCCCTTGACTCACCCATGGCCAGGATGGCAGAGGCGGGCGGCCCTACAAATGCAATGCCCTGCTCCTGGCACGCGCCTGTAAAGGAGGGACCAGCAATCCACACCTCCCTTCACTTTTGTCAAGCTGGCACACATGCAGCAGGCACACATGCCAGGCACGGCCTGTGCTGCGGGCTAGGGGCAGTCCAAGCAGCAAGCGAAGTTGTTGCAGCAGACCTGCAAAAGCCGAGTTCTCTGACAGGAAGCCATAGCCGGGATGCACCGCCGTGGCGCCTGTCCGCGCAGCAACCTGAACTCAGCGGCAGCGCATTTAGCAGCCGCCGGATCGGTTTGGGCTGTTGATCTTTGCCAGGTGCTGCTGCTGCAAACACCCTCCCACCTCTAGAATTCGGTCAGAGCGCAGATACGACTCGCGGGCGGCGGCGGGCCCGATGCAGTACGCCTCGTCAGCCATAGCCACGTGCTGCAGGACAGGTGAACATAGCACGCTGCTGGCAGCAGAGCAGAGCAGCGGGAGGAAGGGCATGGTTCCCGCACAGTCTGCTTGTCGGCACACAGAACCTGCCAAAGCCCTACCCTGGAGTGGCGATCGGCCTCGCTGAAGATGGCGATTGTAGGGATGCCCAGGCGCTTGGCTGCACAGAATGGCCAATGGCACCAACGGCCCAAGGCGACACGGCCTGTCAGCCCATGCCCTGAAAGCCATGCGACAAACAAAGCAGATGTGCGCTGCTGCCAGCTCACCTGTGGTCAGCACGCGGCAGGCGATCTCGCCCCGGTTGGCCACCAGTAACTTTTCGATAGCGGGCCGTGCTGAGATCGCCGGCAACGCGCTGCCGCTCAGCCATCGCCAGGCATCCGGCATTTGACGACCAGAGCAAAGCGCCGTCAACCCCACCCCAAGTCGGAGCACGCTTCCTCTGTTGGAGCGTCGTGTGGAGTGCGCCAGCAGCATGGCTGCCATATAGCAACTGTGCGGAGACGCAGGGGGTGCCAGTGCTGGCCGTGGAGGGAGGCGGGCGGGCGGGCCGCGCAGGGGTGCGTCGGCTAGTCGGCTGCGGCCCTTTGAACGCTCTGTTCCCTTTAGCAATCCCTGCCGGCGGTGTGGTGCCCAAGGCGGCACGGAGGCTCCCGCCAACAGTCAGGCTGCACTTTGTAGGCTGCCTCACTCAGGCAATGTGATTGTGAGCAGGGGATCTCCAGCCAGCAAAGTGGCAGCGAAAGGCGAAAGGCCGTTGTTGTCTCCCCAACCATCTCCGACACACTAGGCTCCAGCAGGCTGGCACCAGGCGGCCTCGACACTGTCGTGGTGCCCGTTCTGATCGAACCCGAACCATCTGCTCCCCCAGACGCACGCTGAGCCGCTGAAGCTATGCTTGCCGCTCTTGCTCCGCGCCTGGGGACTCTGACAGGGCAAACCTCGCTGGCAGGGGTGGCACCGATTGCTGCCCGATGGCTGAGCAGGGAAGCTGCCAGCAACTCGCTGCAGGTGGGTTCTGCCGCCGCGCCGCCGGC